TATCGATAGTTCCAGCAGAACGGAAGGCAGACAGGAACCAGAGTCCGATGCTCAAAACGATTGTTGTTTATCTGAATCTGGCCTCCCCGCTCGGCCTTGGAAGGCCAACTTATCTCAAATTGCTCCTGGTGGATCTGTAAATAAAGAAGCTCTGCTCTGTCCACCCTCCACCCCCCTGAGAACTTCTGTGTACGCTTATCAGAGTTGTACCGGCTGAGAGACACTGTAACATCTTATCAGGACTATAGAAACTATCTGGAAGTGTTCATGGACAAATCTCACCATCTTGTCATCCATGCATATGTATTGTGTCTATCTATGTTGTTTACTGTGGGAGATTTTTTTGATACCTTAGACCGTGCTCTGTCAAGGAGATATATTTTTTAATACCTATTTGTCCTTATGTTGTCTTCCCTTTTTCTATCTAAGCAGTAAAGGTAGTGCTTCCTAGAAGCTGCAGCCCCTGTACACTTCCGTCCATCTTTAGGACGGTTGTACGGAACGTAATTTAGCTCTTTGTGGAACGACAATAAAGCTTATTCTGATTCTGATTAATAATAGTTCGTCTAGTTTCTGAGCACAACAGTTAGAAAATCCTACTGGTTTTCCAAGTTCAACTGGTACACAGTTTGATTTGTGTCTATGTTCTTTAGATAGTGAACTTTACTAATTGGCATTTATAAAGTATGTGAATGTTTCTGTTCAGTGCCCTGGGATGACTTCTGTTGTGACTTGGCGCTATATAAATGAACTGAACTGAATCGGTGCAACGTCACTCTCTGATTCAATTTCTGACTAACAATGTAAACGGACACCATAACTACATGTTTTTTAGTGAGTCGCAGAATAAAGAAGGCTACAGCAGATTACTTTATGTGTTGAGAACTATGAAAAAATGTGGATGCTTTTAACAATGTCAGATAAAAACTGTTAATATTAATACAGATACTGTAGGTAGCACACTGAAATGTTTCACCATGTTATGATCGTTTGCACTTGTCAGTGCTTAGTATACACGCAGATGTTCTCAGTAAAACCTTGGTTATTTTATATTTGTGCATGTATCTGTGTTTTATTCTTTGTCTCTTTAACCCGGGCTCCAGCAGAGACTCTGACACATAATCTACCTGAATATCTTTCTAATGTCCCATCCAATAGATGAGAGATCTCCTCCCTGCAATCTTTTGTAGACAAGCGTGTGCGCATGAGAGGTTGCTGTCATGGACTATCAAATGCTGATTTACTGTATTATAGATTCAGAGATGATGCCACCTGCTGTCCCGCCACCTGTTCTGTCAGCCGGGAGCGGCGGCGCCGCACGCACATCCATGGCTCGTTTAGCAGGGCGCAGCACTTCAAAACACAAACACATCCTCATTAACCAATCAAAGACTACCAGAAGCAGCTCAGACGCACACGGTTGTACTCCACACCACAAGCTGCTCTCGCGCTCTTAAAAGGATGAACGAAGTGGAGCCGAGATTTGGTTCTGACGTTCAGTCCATCCAGCTGCAGCTTGTTCCTGTCTTTACTTCTCTGCTTTGTACACTGATAAAACGCATTAACTAATTTTTTTCCACTCCTCTGGTAAAAATAAAGCCATCAGCTGTAGAGGGAGGGGAGCGGTCCTGGGCATCTGAGTCTCAGCTCAGTTCAAATCAAGTCTATTTATATAACGTCAATTAACAAACAAAAGTCATCTCAGGGCACTGTACAAAAAAAAAGTCCTACATTTTAAATCAAATAACGTACTATAATTAGAATTAATTAACTAATACATTCAGTACTTTATAAAATATCATTAAGTTAAAGTTGTTTCTCTAAGGCAGGGGTGTCAAACTCACTTACAACAGGGGGCCAATATTAAAACCTTTTTCAAACAAAGACCCAGTTTCATAATCTACATTAACTCAAGTTAGATACCCAACATCTTTTCTTTGTTGCAGGTTCCTCAAAAGTGTTTCATCGGTCTCATTTGGTGTTCTCTGTTGCAAAGTATTTTACATTTAAAATAACATCTTGGGGGCCAGATAAGATGTCAACGAGGGCCACATTTGGCCCGCGGGCCTTGAGTTTGACACATACGCTCTAAGGAAACCAGTAGATTGCATTGACATTTGACTTTGTTGTACCACCACATCCTGAGCAGCAGAGGAGACAGCTGAAAGGAAGAAAGTTGTGTCAGGAAGAAACCTCCAGCAGAACTGTTGAATAAATAAATATCCCTTCATCATAGATACTCAAATAAGCCACTCTGAGGACACGAGAAGATTTTTAACCGGTCTTTATTTGCAAGGGTAGACAGTCACGAGAAGGCTTTCACAGATGTACAAAAATTACACGCAGAGCCTCGTAAGTGAGCGTCTGCACCGGACAGTGAGACAGGAAGTGCTTTATAATACACACTTATCAGACAGAGGCGAGGTCAAGACGACCTCGGCTTCCCAGTTTGCAGATGAGAAGAAGGCCTTGGAGTTCAACAGGTGCTCCTCCGTGCACCAGCAGACAAAAGACTCTTTGACCTCGTACACATGGTTCAACATTAATTTAACATTAGTTAGTGATAAACGTCCATAACCTTTACCCAAATTCTCCCGACAAGAACCAGAACCAGTTTAGGTGCCATCTGCCTCAACTGGCTGGAGTTTGAGGGAACAGGATACAAACAGATGGATTGGTTCATGAGTAGTAGTGTGAGTAGAGGCAGCAGCAGAATGATGAAATGTGATCAGTTTGTCCTCCAGCTGTCTACTCCTATAGCAGCATAACTAAGGGATAGATCAGGACACTCAAGTCAACCCGAACTATAGGATTTATCAAAAAGGAAAGTCCTAGGTCAAGTCTTAAAAGTAGACAGGGTGTCAGCTTCACAAAAAATCCTCTCTTCAAACACATTCAGCACTGATCTTAAAAAAAAACATCCATTTTGATGAGGTCACAGTCCTCAGAACTCATACCAAGCAACAAATAATAATCTTTGGGTGTCGTCTTTGGTAGTTCTTTATCTTTGGACAGTCATTGTAAATTGTTAGTTCGAAATTGTTTTTACCATCTAAGAATCATTTCAAAACTGCGATGTATGGTATCACAGAAGGAACTAGAGATGATTGTTCATGCTTTTATTTCCTCTCGTTTAGATGACTGTAATAGCCTTTTAATGGGTCTGAATAAATCTCCCCTAGCTCGCCTTCAGTCTGTGCAGAATGCTGCAGCATGGCTGCTAACTTGAACCTACAGAAGAACCCACATAACTCCTGTTCTGGCCTCTCTGCATTGGCTCCCCGTGCATTTCAGGAGTCATTTTAAAATGTTGGTCCTAACTTTCAGGGCACTTCATGGTCAGGCTCCCAAATATTTATCGGCCCTTTTAAAGTCCCACCAGGACTTTGAGATCTTCAAATCAAATGTTGCCAAGAACTTAACCTTAAAACACGTGGAGACAGAGCGTTCCAAGTGGTGGCCCCGACGCTTTGGAACGCTCTCCCTCCGTCACAGATTCCACGGACTCTTTTAAAAAAGACCTTAAGACTTATTTATTCAGACTGGCTTTTAGTTAAATTTTGTTTACCTTTTTGGTTTTGCTTGTGAAACACTTTATGATGTTATTGTCTGTGAAAGATGCTATATAAATAAAGATTACTGACTTATCCTGATGCATGCTCAATAATTCAGGTAGAAAAATCCAAAAAAGCTCAATCTGGTCCTCTGGATACTGAGGTTGAATCGCAAGTGGTTCCTGTAGTCTGCCCTCTTCCTTGCTGTTTTCTCAAACTCTCTTACTAGTTTGAGGCAATCCTGGACAAAGTGGTTCAAAATATCCTGATGCATGCTCAATAATCCAGGTAGAAAAATCCAAAAAAGCTCAATCTGGTCCTCAGAAGACCAGATTGAGCTCTTTTGGATTACTTACTTACTTACTTACAACAAAATGGCAACCTCAGTTTTGGGAGTAAACAAGCCAGAAACAAAAAGAGAAACAAACATTCAGAATCTATGTTAGAGGTATATCAGTGATTATTTTCTGTCAGCCACAGATTTGGTGTTTTTATACACCCTCATCCCCCCCTCTGATGCTGCATATGTAGAGTTTTTGACCCCTGTGGTTAACACTTACACTACGCTCCAATAGCTTTTAGAGGAATCGCTCGCTCTTCATCCTGACTTGCCTCTGGGCACTTTCAGGGCTGTTGACTCATGAAGCAGGAGCTGCTGCCGGGTCTCTCTCTGGATGCTTATTTCTGTGCATCAACTATGTTGGTGTGTTCGAATGTTTGCGAAGTGCACGGCTCAGTTCAAGCAGAAATGCTGCAGCCTGTCCAGAGGTATCAGCATCAAATTACATCCCGCTCACCTTTTAGTCTGCAAATGGTTCTGGACCACATTTATTGCTGTAAATCAGTAACAAACACCTCCAAAATAGTTTATTTTTCATAAGATCATCAACATAAAGTAAGAGTTCCACCACGAGTGAATGTTATGTGCCGTCTGTTCTTTCTGCTAACCTTCTGTCTCTCGTCTCTGGTGTCCTCCACAGAGTCCAGTAATCATGTACGATGCAACGAAGGTTTCGTCTCCCAAGGATGGTACAAACGGCTTGGTCCAACCTGTGGTCCCTGGAGCTAAACCCGAAACAGCAGCGGAACCAGCAGCGTCGCCGTCCACTGCAGTGCTGCAAGCTAACAGCGAAGAGGGACAGCCACACACGGAGGAGGACGAGCAGCCTGAAGTAGAACCTGTCCTGGTGAAGAAGCCGCACCGAGAGATTCTGGACCATGAGAGGAAGAGGAGGGTGGAGCTTAAATGTATGGAGCTCCAAGAGATGATGGAGGAGCAAGGGTGAGTACATGTGGCTTCATTGACTTTATGAAAAAATGCTTGTTATTTTAGGGGCAATATTTAAAGGACATCATAAAAAGGATTGTTCAAGAAAACACTTCCAGTGCTGGTCCAGGGGATAGGGTCAAAACCAGAACAGTTCTGATATTTAGCCCATAATTGATCATTCCTTTATTCACATTTATGTATTTTATGCATGAATCAGTGTTTGTCTCTTTTTTTCCTACCTATCTTTTAGTATCAGCAGTTTGGTTGATACAACTGTTTGTTTTTTATGAACGTGTGCAACAACAATATTTATGATCCAAGCCAGAGTGAGGATTTATGCACGGTGCTTAGCGCTGGATTTATGAACACCAGCTAACGAGCTATAAACACCTTGCAACGTGTATAAACTAAGCAGCAAATGATCGTAAACTTGGTGTAAAAAGTTGACGGTGAAGGCGACAGTCTTTGTTTCTGGAGGTTATTTTATCACAAGTTTACCACCATGAACTTAGCTTTATTGAAGTGCCGTGTTTAAAACGTAGAAGGGTTTTTAGACGGCATGGTTTAAAGTCAGACAGCAGAAAAATAAAATAAAATTGGAAAATAGTGTTATAGATAAATGGATAAACAAAATCTATTTACTATAATAAACAAACCCAAAAAGATTCAAATGTTTTCCTTAAACCTGTATCACACTGGGTTGCAACTATCAGCAGCAAACAGAGAACAAAGTCAAGATGGGACTGTCCAAAATGTCTTGAAACATTCACGAGGATTCAGTTTCTTTGGTTCACTCACAGAGATTTGCAGTCTAGTCCCTTGACTTTACAAGAAGTTTGAAAATGTTGCTTTTTTTTAGACTTTCTCCCAAAATAGTTGCAGTTGCTGTGTTGTTTTGGGCATCTTGAACCTTTCTTAATTTGTAATTCTAGGCTGCCATAGCTGTGTTTTTATTTATTTTGGATAATTGCCATCTGTTTTTTGGCTATTAACATTATGAAAATATATGCATTGTAACGCGACGCTCACTGTTTGCACTTCCAATATAAAATGTTCATTGAAGTGTTGAAAGCCCTGTAATCATTCAGCTGTGGTGCAGAACTTCTTTTCAGCTTAGAGGGAGGTTTTCTTGCTGAACTCTTTACAGCACATATTTTACCATTTGACAGTAACCCTGGTCTCCCCTCACCTGTCACTTTCCCTGGACCAGGTCATTCCAGCTGAGCTCAGCACTTGACACCACTTGGGTCTTACCTCCCTGAATTAGTGGTGAAACTTCTAAAGGTAGTGGCATTTCACCACAGCCGGCTGAGCAACATGTCTGTGAGACATCCGGGGGTGCACCTGCACCACACTAATTAATAGTCTACATTTTATTTTCTCCAGCTTTTGCAATCAGTGCATAAATACAGAGACACAGGTGTACTGAAGCAGGTGTAGTTTGCAGAGAAAGTACAACCTGACTTGCTTGTGTTTTTAGACAGACATTAATAGTTTAGGAGCTCGATGTCTGATTTTAATAAAACAGTTTTTAATTTTCTTCAGTCTTGAGATCTGAGGTTATTGCAAAAACAATTGAGACTGCAGCCCCAAATGCTCAGATCTAGCCATGCTGAGGATATGATTATTTTAAAACAGGTGCCTGTATTCATTTCTAAAGTTTACTGCAGTCAACCAAATCCTGAACTTGGGGGAAAGCTAGATGGGTGCAAAATGAGCTGAAGTGGGTACAGTGTGGACAGAGAGGGGTAACAAAAATTGTGCACAGCCTAGAATACAATTATTAAAATATACACAAACATAAATAGACTGAGATTTTAAAAATATATTGGCAGTAAAACATGGTTGAACACAAAGAGCCAGAATTCAGTGAAATTGTGACAGACACTATTATTGTTTTTATTTTAAATTCAGACGTTACAAATCCTAAATTTAACCCAACTTAAACCACATTCTTTAAAAATCTCAAACACGAATAATGAGGGCTGAATGTCAAGTGGCATTTCTTTGTTCAGAGAAATGTAATTTTTCTTTCTTTCACATCTCACTTATTAAAATACAGGCCGTGAAAGCTGCAGCAGAGAGCCTGACGTTGACAAGTATATTCCTTTACAGGTCCTGAGTTTACAGGCAGCGCCAAAATATTAAATTCACAATCTGATACCTGCCAAAAGGCATTTTCATCTCTTCAGTGGAAGAAAAACAGAAACAAACCAATGCTGTGAAGTAAACAGTGTTTTTGTACAATGAATAAATAAAGATAATGTTGCATACAGTTTGTGTTTTGGTGATCTGGCTGCTTTTAGAATCTTTGTATCACAATGTTGAGTTATCTGTCATAAGGTTGAGAACTAGACTGTCTCTTTTTTAAAAAAGTTGCCATAATTTTAAATTTCACTACTTCTTGGCATTTAAAAAGGTTACTGTTAGCTGAAGGGTGCTCCTGGGATCCTGCTGTTTGGCCAGGGGCAACAACACCTCAGTCTGCAGCAGTGAAAGATCAGGATTTTGCCTCTGCTCTTTCTTGTTTTTGGGTCCCTGCCGAGCAATGGGGAGGTTGGGAGATCCATTATGTCGTAGTAGGGTTAGCTAACCCTAAACGTACCACTCCCAAGCTGGAAAAGAAATGCAGGATGATGGAAATTGTTGCTAATAAAAAGGTCTGAAAATACATTAAAAATGCAACTACCTTGAAGTGGTTTCTTCTGAAAAGTTAGGAAGAATTAGGAGAAGTCTAAGGCGTTGTAGATAGTTCTTTAAATCACTTCAGTTCAAATATGTTGACTTTAACCAAAAACAGTCCATGCTCAATAATCCAGGTATACAATCCAACAATTTTCAGTCAGGTCATCTGGACAGTTTCTTTTTTTGCTGAAACGTTTCACCTTCCATCCGGAAGGCTTCATCAGTCAAGGAAACACACAACACAAAACTGATTCTTCCCCCAAACAACTTACTCCAAAGTGGAACAAACCAGTTACGTTGGTGCTAAGATGGTGTCTTTGGCACGCCCCCTCCTCTTCCTCGTTGACAGTCATGTCAAACTGGTTCAAACTGACTTTACTTCTCACTGATTGATGAGCTAAAGGCTGGTCTGACTGGGGTTATTATGTAGCTATTTGCCAGTGCAAATACAAATAACAGCAGCAGCCAGCTGTAGCACTTCTTTGAAGTTTATGGTCAAAACCAGAAGGTTCCACTTCAAACTTGACAAAGTTGGAAAGAAACCCTTGAGACTCCAGTCATCCTTAATCCTAATGCTTCTCCCTGATGGATTTACCCCCCACCCCCCCACCCCCAACACACACACCCACATGCTCTGCTGCTTGAAGAACCACATCTGAGTTCAACTGCAGACTTGACAATGAGCATAATTACTGATGAGCCTGTGATCCTGTTAGTATGAAGGAAGCTTACTGTATGTCCCCTCTGATACTGGTGACATGTTCCTCACTTCACACTTGTCGTTTACAGACTGCTGCTTAATCTTCAGCGTATCAAGGAAGGGTGATTTAATTCAATAAAAGTCAGAGTTATTAAATGTGTTTTTTTGATGGGTAGGTGCAGCTACAGAAGGTGTTATGAAGTTGAAGGCGGTGCTGTGTTTTTGTCCTCTCGTTTGTCCACTCATCCCTTTCTTCCTGAACTAACTTCTCTTGTCAGACAGTAGGGCCTCATTAGGACTGACTGGTCATACTGGAGCTGCAGCTGATTGATGCAGCTGAAAGCAGAAAAAGGGGGAAATGAGGAAGGGGGAGGGTTGGTTTCACTTTTCCCCTCTGTTCAGGTTCACTACTTTCCTGGTTGGGAGCGATGTCTTCTGAGTTGGGAGCAATGTAAACGTACCATGATGGCTGTTAAAACATTGCCGTGGGCGGGAGCAGCTTGGCTAATGATGGCAGAATACAAGAAGACTAGACATCCCCACAAACCAGCTCAGAGTCAGTCATGAAGGTCTGAAGGGCTCAGCTGAGTGCTCAAGTTCTGGACGGACTCAGCTCATCTTGTTAAGCTATAATAGGAAGGGAATCACATTTGCCAGCTTGGCTGGGCACAAATACCACTGTCTCTTCCATTTCCAATGTCCCTCTTCAAAGGAAAGCATGTGGGGAGGATTAAAGGATAGAGTGACAAATGTAACACTGGGATGGAGAGGAAGAACAGTGCCAGCCACTTGAACATTGTTTTCCAGAGAAAACCAGAGGCCTCAGTTTGTGTGTCCTCCCAACAGTATGGATCCCGACTCAAGTACTCATGTTGGAAGCCACGCCACTTTTCTTTCTCCAGCACCAACACAGGTTCCTCTGTGCTTGTATCGTGTGAGCAGATGGGGATAAATGGTCTGTCATGAGTGATGGCCTAACCATGGGAGCCAATTAAATTGGCTCTGCGATTAACGGAGCTTGTTCATTTAAGAGTCCAAAGCCTGGCAGCCTCCCACATTCATTTGTGCAACGAGCTCTACACTGCTGTGGGGCATATAACTATTTTAAGTATATTAAATGGGCTCGAGTTTGCACACCACTTATACACATTTGTTCAGAAATGCACTATATGATGTGTGTGAGAAGCTTCTGGGTGATATGGTGCATAAATAAAACAGCCAGTCTATTTTTTGATAGAAAAAATATGTATCTGTTTTGACAGAATATGTCAAAAAGTGCATAGGGTGTATTTTAAGGAAGCTTTGGGTAGCAATACTTAACTGATTTTGAGGTAAGCGGCTCCTTGCATGCCAGGAAACAAGTTCTGTTTGGAGGGAGTTTTTCTATGCTAATTGTAGTATAATGACTGTGCACGGTTTGAACTCCTGATGTGCACAAGCCTTTTCCTCAGCTCTTTAATGAGCTCTCTTCATGGGACTTCTCTCACACTAAACTGGAGGCTATGTTGGTCTCATTGGAACATATGAACACATACACATATGGGTTTTGCAAAAACATCAAAATCATTTTTCATCCTTAACAAATATCTGAAGAGTTTACATGGATGCAGAAAGCAGTATTCCATGC